GCGTGCGTGCGTGCGTGCGTGCGTGCGTGCGTGCGTGCGTGCGTGTGCATGCGTGCGTGCGTGCGTGTGTATGTGTGAGGAGGGAGAGGTGCACAAACGTAAAGATGATGATGACAAAATAACTGTAATAAATCTAATGCTACTTTGTGCTGCCTTCCAATAATTACTTGACTATTCATAAAGCCTCGAATTTTATCGGGAATCATAGGCATAACAAAAATATAAATGTTCTCGTTCACAAATATAGAATATCTATCATCTCACAACTGCAGGTTTCTATATCCACATTCCCGTATTTTGTCGTTCCTAAGAAGCTCCTATCCGTCAGACCCATCCCCAAATTTAGGTGATAATCTGGAAAAGCCGTTTTCCTACATAATAGCCATCTCAACTACCAGGTATATGTTCACCATAAATAACTTCACACCCTAATATTTGCCATGTGTTTACCCCTCAAATTCTCTGTATTTCTTCTGCCCCTCTCACTCTCAGCATTGGTTAACATATACTTTAAGCCATTCCGCTGTAGTGTATTATATATACAGTACCGTAGCTAACAAAATCTTAGCTATAGGCCTACAATAGAGTTGGCTACTCCGACCTTCAAGTTATAGAACGTGCATGAGGTGGTTTGTGAAACATTTGCAGAGCCAAAAAATTAAATCAAAAAGCCACGAAAAACGATATTTGATACAACAATAATAATTTTTGATGTTTTAATATAATATTTATTAGAGAAAGATTTTTACAAATATGTTAATACACACTATAATAATGTATATTATGACGTATATTATCAGCATATGCGCGTAGTTCAGTTTACCCGATTTCTCCTAATATATTATCTGTATATAATATAACAAACAGTATTGAAATTATTGTCCACTTTAATTTTATTTAGCATTGTAACATTTGCTAGATAAAACAATAAGACCGCTCACATTTATATAAATATTTTAACATCGGAAATACGACATACATGTTGCATTTATAAACGTAAAAGATATACTATGCACGTATACCCGTTAAATCTTTCGATTTCGTGTCATTGAATAAACTTTAATTTGACGATTACAAATTGCAACAGCGTGCGTGTGATATGTAGAGCTTTAGGCTGCTTCTATACACTCCAGGGTTTGCGTTCCGCCATGAGTCTGTGTAGTGGGTATATGGATGAATGCGTAGCGGCGTACATGTACAGTAATAACGATCGACATAATGCCGGTCCATTATCTGATGATGACCGATGTTCAACGAAGAAGAACAATAAACACATAAATCTAGCACACACGCACACACACACACACACACACACACACACACACCACACACACACACACACACACACACACACACACACAC